GCTAGACAGCCTCACACCCTTAAATACATCAAGTTTAGTTTTCTTCCTTTCCATACTTCATATGGAGATACATGTATTTTCATAGATGTAATTCTATTGTGAATATGACATGCAATAAGTAAAGCTTCTCCCCATAAATTATTAGGTAATTTAACATTAAGAAGTATAGAGTTAATCATATCAGTAAAAATCATATTCTTTCTTTCTGCCAATTCATTTTGTTGAGGAGTAAAAGGGGCTGACCTTTGGTGAATAATACCATGCTCTTCACATAAGGCATCAAATTCATTTGAGAAATATTCACCACCTCTATCATTTCGAACCATTTTGATCTTCTTATCTTTTTGGTTCTCAACTTCAGCCTTATAAATTTTAAATTTATCAAAGGTTTCATCTTTTGTTCTAAGTAAATATATATAAGTGTATCTAGAACAATCATCAATGAAAGTGATAAAGTATCTCTGTCCACCTCTTGTCAAAATACCATTATACTCACAAATATCGGTATGAATCATATCCAATATTTGAGTATTTCGTTCGGCTCTAGAAAAAGGGTTTCTTAGTTATCTTTGCTTGTATGCAAATCTCACACTTATCATTTTTAAAATCTTTGTAATTAATCAAACCATGTTTAGACATATATTTCAAAGATCTAAAATTTACGTATGCTAAACGTGCATGCTAAACATCAAAAGAGTCAACAATATAAAGAGAATTCATATCATCTTTATTATTAATGCTAAGTTTGTACATGCCATCACAAGAATATCCCTTTCCCACAAAGACCCCATTCTTAGATACAATACAATTATTGCCCTTAAAAATAATCTTTAGCCCATTATTACACATTAGACTAACGGATACAAGATTTTTCCTAATGTCAGGAACATGAAGAACATTGTTCAAAGTAAGCTTCTTTCCGGAAGTAAAGTTGATCTCCACCATTCCTCTCCCGGCAACTATTAATGCATCATTATTTTCCATGAGAACCATTTGTCATTCCTTTTCCACTTTGTATGATGACTTGTCATTACAAACGTGGATTATAGCACTGGAATCAAGCCACCATTCGGAGGATTTAGTTGCAGCCATATTAGTTTTGGTAATCATGCCAATTTATATTTCCGAGACCATAGCACTAATGTCTTCAGATTTCTCTTCAGCAGTATTGGTCTTATTGGTATTAACTTCTTCATTTTTTTCTTGTATCTGAATGAATCATAAATTTCAACTTTCAATTCACGAAGCTTAGTAACAATGATTTGCAATTCATGTATTTGATCTAGAATGGACTTGGTATCAACCGTGACAAATTTAAGATATTTCAAGATGAAAAATTTGTCCGTACCTTCATTCTCAGTTTTGTACTTGTATTCGAGAGCATTCCAAATCTCCACTGGAGACTTCATCGAGTTATAGAGATCGTAGAGCCAATCGGAGAGAGTATTGAGAATATGACCCTGTCACATGACTTCATCATCTTCACGCTTCTTTCTTGCAGCCTTTAAGTCTTCGGAATCATCCTCCTTCAATTCCGGAAGAGGCTCCAATTTCGGATCAAGCATGTAGGCGATCTTGAGCACAGTAAGAAGAAAGAACAACTTTCCCTTCCACGGGTGAAATTGGTACCATCGAATCGATCAAGTTGGACATTCAGATTGAGGAAAGCCGCCATATTCTTTTCAACCTCCATTGCAGCAAGTTAAAACCTTAAAGATTGTTGGAGAATTGAAGAGTATAGGATGAAAAGAATGCATAAACAAGAGAGAGTTTGAGGCGTATATGAATACTTTACTTTAAGGTTTTATTTGCCCTTACTTCTCAAAGTTTGCTAATGAGTTTTAATGGCAAATTACCCCCAAGATACAACAAACACTTGAACACAATATTTAGTAATAATATTGAGTTCTAGGACATAAAATAATGTCTGTAAATTTTTTAGAGAATTAATAAAGAAAGAGGTGCCATTTCATTGAATGAATGCATCATCTTTAAATATTACAACCTTTCACATAAAAATACCTTTTCAATGTAAATGTATCTTTTCATGGATTGATGCACCTATTACAATGGTTATATATATTGCTAATAAGTGTTCACATATGTGTTAAAACATATCACCAATGGATGCAATGATTCAAGACCTTTCAAATCACATAAACACATGAAAACATAGTTTTCTGCAGAAATACCCACTGTAGCGGGTGTTTTTCCAGCTGCAGCGCAAAACAGACCCGAGAGGTTTGTACTACAAGTGTTGCAACGCCCAAAACAGGCGCTGCAGCGCGCCTGTCTTCTTGGACTGGCGCTGCAGCACCAAATGTTGCCTTGACAGCACCAAATGGTGATGTCAAACTCGCTGCAGCGCATGTTGAATGCGCTGCAACGCTTCCTTGCCATTTTTCTTGTGTTTTAGGCTAACGATTATGTGATCTTGTAATTGAGAGACATATTACAATCTCTTTAACATTGGCAGCCACCAAAGTTATTTGTGTTATTTTGTGGCACCATATAGGTTGAGGTTTTATGCTCTACTAGGACTAGCCATTCACTTCATGCATTCTATGATGTCGATTAGGCGGGTAATAAAGATGAATCCACATCCACTAGTGCATATGTTATTTATATTGGTTGAAATTTAATCCTATGGAGTTAAAAAAAATAACATTGTTACTCACTCTTCAAGTTATCATGTATTGTAGCTACAACGACGGGGGTATCATGGTTTTGCTCCTTACTATTTAAACTTAGCATTCCAATCTTCATGTAAGCCTATATTTATTGTGATAATATTGGCCCCAACTCCTTGTGCTCAAACCTAGTTTCCATTCTCGATTGAAATATGTTGATTTTTCACTTTGTGAGAGACAAGGTTCAAGGTAGAGAATTACGAGTCTCTCGTATGGTCGACTTGCAGATGCACTCACCAAACCACTTTTATGATCTCCCTTTATTACTTTGTGATCTAAAATTGGTGTCTTCAACAGATCCATCATCTAGCAGGAACATATTAAGTTAACACGGTTATATTAGGGTCCGTTTAGTTCTCTGATTCGAATTTTTAATTCGAGTTGAGATGTGACTTTACGTGAGAGCTTTTTACTGTAACAAAAAAGTTAATTATGACTGTTTCTGAGAGCTTTTTACTGTAGTAAAATTCGAATTTTAAACTCAAATCGGTGAAATAAACGGGGCCTTAGAAAACCAACACATTTAATAGGATATAGACACATTCATTGTATTTGGACACATTATGCATTCGTTGTATCTAGACATGTTTATTGTATTTGGACATACTAATTTGTGTACATATTCTCTATCATATCAATGGAGGCTTATGCCATAATCCCTTAATTGTGCTAATTCTCATACAATATTGATCCTTCGCGTTTTTTTTATACGATCATTTGCCCATTTTGGGCCTTTGGATGTCCAGCACGTTATATATTTGTGAAAAGTTGAGTTTATATTTGTGGGTTTTTTGTTTTTTTGTTTTGTTTTAGGTATAATTTGAGGAACATGTTAAATATAGGTAATATGCTCCAATAAACTAGGACTAGACTACAATTCCTCATATGAAGCTTATGTGCATGTTCATATATATACTAGAAATAGACATATGCACTAATATTCACTATTTTTTTAAAAAATATATGCATATGTAAGGAATATGCTATTTGAATCTTAAACCATATGAATCCCAGGCAATAATAGAAGCAACCCATATATTTATTTGAAAAAAAAGGAAATAAATCCAACCTGTATGCTATTTTTGAAGTACAAATCAGTCGGGCTCTCTCTCTCTCTCCCCATATCTCTTTTGTTCGATTTAAATGGTTTGATCAATAATCAATTATTAATAATAAAAGAGAAGCTCTGTCTCTCCATATCTATTTTGTTTGATTTTGAATCGTTTTAATCAATCATACTAATTCAATTCTTAATTAAAAATAAGAAGCTAATATAAGGAACATTAGGCATTAATCATTATTGTCATTTGGCAAAAATCTTGTATCTAAGAGCATTTGCAATGTTATAATTAATGTGCCAATTGTAAATTTAGTATTTGAGTAGAAAAAAAACTCCAATACAATGCTATTTATTGTGTTAAATTTTTCATATGTTATACTTGGTGTCAAATTTCTCACCAAATATAATATATGAGAAATTTGACATTTAATTGTTATTGGTTAAAATGTTTATTTTTTCATGTAATAATTGTAAGTTTTATATTTTCTAATAATTTTAAATATAAAAATTTACTTTTATAATTTTTAAAGCTTAATAATTAAAAAAAAAAAATTTAATATTTTAAATAATATTTTGCATTGAAATAAAAATAAAAATAATTAAAAAAGTGGAAGAACAACGTACAAGTACGAACTACAAAATAAATATAAAAAATTGATGAAAAATAATAATAAAAGTTGGGATAAGAATTTAGAATTCCTCTCTTGGAGAGGGTTACTGACATATAGGTTGCTTGTATACTCCAACCGCCCTCACCGCCGCCACAATACATGTATTTTTCATTCTTTTTAATTTCAATTTTCATATTTATTGTTTCCACTTCTTAAATATTTTATAATATGTTACCATTTACTAATACATTTCATGTTATATGTATAAAAATTATCTAAAATTGGGCACCTAGAGGACCGGATCAGTCCAATAATATTTTTTTTTTCGCATACCTATTTATGTATATAACACGGTTTGTTTGGTTTATAAATTTAAATAAAAATTTAAATTTTTATAAAAAATATTATAATAAAAAATGAAAAATATTGTTCAAATTTATGAAAAAAATTATTATTCCTTATGATTTTGATTCGGACGCCCCTCTAGTTTGGTACATCTACAGTACATGTACAGCTCATAATACATGAACTGGACTTGAACTTTTTGAGTCGACTATTAAGGAAAACCAAAATATAACACCTCTATATAAAAAAAAATAAAAAAAAAAGCAAAAAAGAGAGGGAGAGAGATAAAACTGATATTTTTTGTAGATAAAAAGATCTAGAAAAAAAAAGAAGAAAATGGAAAATAGGTTACAAAATTAAACTATTATATAACTCTTCTTAAACCCCGTCTCTTTCTCTCTCCTTAAGGAGTCCTTCTCTCTCTCTCTCTCCCTCTCTCTCCCTCTAGAGAGTTTTGCAGATTCTCTAGAATTCCTACTTCCCAAAAAAAAAAAAAAATCCCGCAAAGAGCATCCAAAAAAAAAAAAAATCGCATTCGTTTCATTTCTATTACGAAAGGTCAAGAAAAAAAATATATATATATATTTATATATTATATATAGAAAAACCGACCTTGAAAAGAATGGGCAGTCTACCGGGTTATTGTTGCTGAAGTCTCGAGTGTGTGTAATTGCGAGAGAAACAATTTCACCGGGTTTGTGCTTTGATCACCACATACACGCACATTGGCTTCGTTTTGCATCGATTTTCTCTTTCCGGGTTCAGTTCTCGTCGTTTTCTTTTACTACTACTCCTGAGTGATTATTTCTCTCTTCACTGATTCGTGATATGTTTCGTTAAGGCGGTTTCTTTGTGTTGGATCCGAACAAGACCTTAAAATGGAGTGTAAATCTGTGTTTGTGTGGATATTCTTTCTGGGTATTGGTGTTTTTGTGGTTTTGCTTTGTGGGCAATCCTTTAATTTCAATAATTTTGTCAAAAAAAAAAAAAAACTAAGGTGAATGTAGTTTTGTATTGATCGTTTTTATTGTTTTGTTGAGGTGATTGTGTTTCGTGTGTTTGTCTTGATTTTTTAACTCGTCCTTGAGTCATTGTTGATTGAGATTTGAAACATGGTTATGGCAAAACATGTGCGTACAAAGTTAGAATATGTGTGTTATAGCGTGTGTTGTGCATTGGAAATAATCTGAGATGACTCTATTTTGTGTTCCATATTATTAATTTGCTGTAAATTTGTTTACTGTTAGCAATGTGGAGGGCAGTGATGATCTTTCAGATGAGAAAAGTAAATTTGTGTAGAATGGTTTAACAATCTCACAAATTATGTTTGTTTTCTTTTCGTTTTCCCTTCTCATGGCTATAATTCCTTTTATGAAAACGCACTGGAGACGTTTGTTTTGGATATAAGAGATAATAGAACAGTAACTTTGCTTGTTTTTATTAGCATAATAAGGTCCCATGAAATTGTTAAATTGTTCAATAATTTAGGGGAACTTCTTTTCAATTTTCATCTGTGAAAACTTTGAATTATTCCAAGTTCTTTTGCAGAAAGCATATCGTATGAGATGGGTCATCGTGTTTTCTTTGCACTGGGACCACACGGAATGACTTATGATTTCTTTTTGCTATAAATGTGTGGTCAAAGTCTAATATAAGCTTTCAATATTATCTGTGCTTGAACTCTGTTATGCAAGATAAAAAGGATGTGATTATGTTATATATATTTTTTCCAGTTAAATCCATATACTGGTTTGTGAGGTAAATTGTGTTTTCTTTTCATATGCTTACAAAGTATTACATTTCTTTTGCTGCTTTTGAATATAGCATAATAAGTTCGTAAGATTTCAATTGTGAGCAACTTCTGGTTTTTCATAGTTTTCTTAGCTACTCATTTTGGTGCCTATCTGTTTCTTTTTCTCAGAGGTGTTATAACATAGCTCTAATGGCTAAAGATATATCTGCTGAATCGCTTGAGAGAAGGACGGGCCTGTTAAAAGATCAAGTCCGATTGGTCAAGCGAAAAGATTCAAGTCGTTATGAGATTATCCCCATTCAAGATCCTCTATCATTTGAGAAGGGTTTCTTTATAGTTATCCGAGCATGCCAATTATTGGCTCAAAACAACGATGGGATAATACTGGTAGGGTTGGCAGGTCCTTCTGGAGCTGGGAAAACTGTATTTACAGAAAAGATACTCAACTTTATGCCCAGCATTGCTGTCATTTCAATGGACAACTACAACGACGCTAGTCGGATCGTTGATGGAAACTTTGATGGTAAGTAACCTTTTACTAGATTTACTTCTCCTAGGGTGCTTTCGTGTATCAAATATTCTACACAAGAATCAAGTGAAGTGGAATTGTTAAATGTGCTCTTGAACAAGTTTTCTACTGAGATTTATGGTGCACCCGTATTCATCTGATTGATGGTTACAAAACTCTTCTTCTTATCTCTGTGCGCAGGTAAATTGAAGTTAGGCTAATAGGCCCAATACAAAGCATAATGCTTTTAGTTTGATATCTTTCGTTCTTTTTCTGTCAAACAGATCCACGTTTGACAGACTATGACACATTGCTTCAGAATGTCCATGATCTAAAAGCGGGAAAACCGGTCGAGGTCCCGATATATGATTTCAAGACTAGCTCCCGCATAGGATACAGGTTCAGTGCTTCTTACTATCAATAAGCATAGGTTAGCATGTTTAATGTTTTCACTTCTTTTTTGCAGAAATACTTTTTGGAGTGGTATTTTAGGGTAGATGAAGAACAGGATAACTAAATACAGGGCTTTTGTCTGATGTGACGGTTAAAAGAAATGGAAATTCTGTGGTCTTGGGAGTTACTATAACAATACTTCCGAGCCAACATGAAATTGAAATGAATGATAGATGCTTCCAAACTCCATGTGACTATATCATATTGGAAATCACGATTACTTAGTTCATCTAATTGCAGGACCATCCTGTCATAGAAACTATGTTATTTTGAAGATATTATATCCGTTTCATATCGATTGACTTAAAGCTATATTTTTTCTGAATTGTCAGTAGTTGCATGATGCATTTTTGTCTATATTCAGAAGTTAACTGCCTGTAGCTGCTTGATACTCTTTTGTTTAGTTTCAAGTGTTGGTCTTTTTTCCTTCGTATTCGATTTGTCTAGTTGAAATCTTAATTTAAAGCATATACTGGTGACAGGACAGTTGAAGTCCCTAGCTCCCGAATTGTGATCATCGAGGGCATTTACGCTTTGAGCGAAAAATTGCGGCCTCTGCTGGACCTTCGAGTGTCAGTCACAGGAGGGGTTCACTTTGACCTTGTCAAAAGGGTTATAAGGGATATACAACGAGCTGGCCAAGAACCACAAGAAATAATTCACCAAATATCTGAGACGGTGCAAATCTGTCCCTTTTAGAGAATTATTCTTAATTGTGTCACAAATTCATTAATTCTGAGTTGTCAACTTGTCTACCCTCTGCAGGTATATCCAATGTACAAGGCCTTTATTGAACCAGATCTTGAAACAGCACATATAAAAATTACCAATAAGTTCAATCCGTTTACTGGATTTCAGAGTCCGACTTATATATTAAAGGTGAATTTCCCATTTTCCACTTTGTTAATCTCTCCAAACTGTACATTTTGTTTTTAGAATGTCTTATTAACAACTGAATTGTGCCCTCATTGTAGTCAGCGAGGAAGGTGACAGTAGATCAAATCAAGACTGTTTTCCTTTCTGAAGATTACGTTGAATCAATGGAAGAGACTTATGATATATACCTTTTACCACCTGGGGAAGACCCCGAATCTTGTCAATCGTATTTGAGGATGCGGAATAAAGATGGAAAATATAGTCTCATGTTTGAGGTTTGCCTCAAATTCTAACTTACTATGTACTTCTGTTGGTAAGCATTAAGTTGAAATATTTTTTGGTGGGATGCTGGATGGTTTTATATAGCCAACCCTGAGTAGTTCAGTTGAGGCCGTTTGGCAGTATAGAGACTTGCATACAATGCTATCTTATGCTTGAGGGCATATGAGGATGCTGAAGTTTAGAACAACACTTCTTCTAAAGGAAAATTTTGAAATAGTGGTAATGGTAAGGACGCTAAAGTTCATACAGCAACATCTTTTTTGAAGGATAATTTTTTAGTAAGTCCTGTAAAGAACTCAGTAATGGATGTGGTCGTTTGAGTGCAAAATCTCAAAGTTCCAAAAATTATTTGGTGAATTTCTTGGTAGGAAAATGTGGGATAGGTTTACCGACACATGTGTGCGTGTGTAAAACCGTTGCCTTTTTGAGACTAGACTATGACTAGCGGTTTGACTACAATAATCAAATGTGTTTTCTTACATAAGATTCGCTCTCCTGAGGAGAGATTTCACTTCATTCAGAAATAGAAAGTTGGAGGTATAAGGACTGCTGTTAGTAAAAAGGAAATTAGGCTGTGATTTTCTGTGGGTTAGGTGACAAAACTTATCCAGATTTTCCCTCAGACAAATTCAAGTAATTTGATGACGGGTTTGTATGATCTGTTGAATACTGTGTTTAAACTTTAGGAATTTATTGGGGAGGCTGGAACTGTTGCATGATTAATCTTTTCTCCCCCCAGCATTTAGTGTTCAATCTTCTTCTGTAACGGTTGTCGTTTCATAGTCAACATTCTGCAATCTGATTTCCTTTTCAGGAATGGGTGACGGACAATCCTTTTGTCATATCGCCAAGAATAACTTTTGAGGTCAGTGTTCGGCTTCTCGGTGGGCTAATGGCCTTGGGTTACACAATTGCAACTATCCTCAAAAGAAGCAGCCATGTATTTTCCACTGATAGAGTATGCGTAAAAATCGATTGGCTGGAACAACTTAATCGACAGTATGTTCAGGTATTGCTTGACATTTTCCCAATCATTGCACAGTTGAGATTCCCATTAAACCTTATGGTAGAATACTTTATGTTTGATCGGGATATATAATGTCATTTTAAACTTGCTTTCTTGCATATTAACTAAAAGGTGCAAGGAAGAGATAGATTAGCCGTAAGATGCATCGCTGAGAAGCTTGGTTTGGAAGGTTCATACACTCCTCGGACCTACATTGAGCAAATTCAATTGGAAAAGCTTGTCAATGAAGTCATGGTATGACCAACCACACATTCCTTTTGTCCTCTCACTCTCGTTATGATAAGAATTGTGGTTCCAAAAATTCTAATTTATTTATTTTATTATTTTATATGAGGCTGGATCGAAACCCCACCCCACACAGACCCCCTCGTGCCGCTAGACCAGATGGTCTTAGCCCATGGTTCCAGATCTTTTGACATCTTCTCTTTTGTTTGTTTGTTTGTGTGTTTTCAGGCCTTGCCAGATGATTTGAAGACAAAGCTCAGCCTAGACGAAGATCTGGTTTCTAGCCCCAAAGAAGCACTTTCGAGGGCCTCTGCAGATAGAATTGCCATGAGACATAAGCATCTGAAGAGGTTTGGGCTTCTTATTTATTCATTTTTTTTTTCTTTCTTTTTTTTTTTCCTCTGTTCGAATTAGATCTTTTGAATACATTATATCAAAGGCAAAAAAGCCAAACTCTGGCTAGGTTTATTTTGTTTGGGTGTACAATTCGAGATTTGGATATGCTTAATTCATTATGAATTATGATTATGGCGTTATTTGTGCTTGTAGATTACTTGGGTGAGCAAGTAACTGTCGGAAATTCTAAATGCTTTCTTGTTTATTGAATGGAGAACATGTCTGGTTTATTTTTATTTTTATTATTATTATTATTTTTATTATTATTTTTATTTTTATTATTATTTTTTTAAGAAGGGAAATGGAGAACAAGTTGAATGTTAGGATACGCCACTTTGTTGAAAACAGGTTTCAGAAGTGCCATCAAGGACGCAATATATGTAATAAAAAATTTGCCACCTTTGTGCAAACACTTTAAGCGTGTTAGAACCTATAATTTTGTATAGTATAGGTTTCAAAGGTGCCTTATAGAATGCCTTTTTTTCGCCTTTGTGCAATAGGAGATCTATTTTTTCGCCTATAACTGCCTTATTTTGGTCCTGAAAAGAAGTTAACAGTTTGTGAAGCTTAGCTTTTGATATATATTTTTCCTCTCTTATGCTTCCTTAAAAGTAATTGGTGGACTTTTGTTTATCACGAATAGTGGCATGTCCCAGTCATATACCACACAAAGGGACAAGAATATTTCCAAGCTTACTGGATATGCTACTAACGGTCAAAGGTTTGAGGAGAGAAATTCAGAAGCAAATGCAATACTAGCAAACCAGGTAGGCTGAACGATCTTTTTTCCCCCTCTTCTCTCCTGTCAATTTATTTATTCATTTTTCCACTTTCCTGTGTGTTAGCTGTCAGAACAAATTTCCTCGCTGAATGATAGAATGGACGAGTTCACAAATCACATCGAAGAGCTGAATTCCAAGTTGAGTCAAAAGAAGAGTTCTGCTAGCCAACAAAACATAGCTTTTCAAGCTGAATTGTGCAATGGCTATGATCCAACCTCGTACTTCATGTCTAGAGTAGGCAATGGCTCAGTAATGCCGAATTCTTCATCTTCTTCGCAGCTGGCTAAGGAGTCTCCCGTTCTGGATGAGGTATTTATATGGTCTAATTTTTTGCATCATACTTCCACACGTTTCTGATTATTGGGTTGACATTTCAAATATTTCGTTCATTGGTGCGTGATTGCTAAAACGCAATCCTCATTGTTAAGTACATTACTTGTTGGTGTCTTTCTGAAATGTGATCTGAAAAACGCTTCAGATATCAAGCATCGCTCGGGGACAGAGGCAAATCATGCATCAGTTAGACAGTATCAACAATCTTCTCCGCGACAACTTGGGAGAGAAAAAGTCTCACCAAGTGAAGACTAGAAGGAGAAACATAACGTCTGATTACGATCCCATCACAGTTCCTCTCGTTTTAACACTTGCAGTTGGGGGTCTAGGACTCTTCTTAGTCAAAGGGTTCTTATACCGAAACTAATTTTTTTTTACTAAATTTTCTTTTTATCATCATTCAAACTCAAAGCTAACTGCTACAAAAATATTTATTTTTAGGATATTTTCCTTCTTGTGTCCCACTAAGATCTTGCAGGTGCCAATCCTTCTGCTCGGGAAAAAAAAAAAAAAGAAAAAGACATTTTTTGAGAGATGCTGAAAGGATACATACATATGTACTAGCTTTCAAGTTTCGAAGTGTCTCTTTGAGGGTTTGTGAAAAGAAGGGTTTCTTAGCAAATTTTGAAACTTTTGTGGGACTAATTTATTTGTTATTTTGATATTTTGTTTATTTTCTATAGCTTTTATGAACAATGCTTTATTCTGCCCATTTTTTTCTTCTCCAAACTTTGAAGACCGTTGAGAAATTGGAGCTCTAATAGCTGAGAAATTGGGGACTTTGTTGGATAGTTGACAATAATTCTTCTAGAGAGGATCCAGATAGGAGAGAAGAAAGAAGAGAGTCAATAGAGACGAGGAAAAAGAAAGTTTTAGAGAAATAGGAAAAGAGAAATCACAAAAATAGAATTGCAGGGGTTATAGGTCTATCACGTTGGTATTGTTCCTATTGGTGTTAGGGTTGGTAATTCGTGTTTGTTTGTTGTGTTCAGGCCGACACGATTATACTGAACACGAACACGACACGATTAATAAACGTGTTAGAAATTTAAACACAAATACGAAACGCTAATAACACGGTTAACACGACATGACACGTGAACACAATTACTAAACGTGCCGTGCGGGCTGACACGAAAAAAAAAAACACGTTTATGACCCAACTAGTAAAAATAGTGGAATTTTATATTGTATTCAAAATTATATTAATTGACTACTTAATATCACTTATAGTTAAAATCATGCATAATAGTCAACACATATTAAAATATTCAAATATCAAACACACACACACACATATATGATACTACTAGATTATCAAGTATATATGTTTCAAAACATACCAATTGCCAAACATCCAAAGAAGTTTGAAAACATAACCAAGCATTTGAATGTTTAAGTGCATAAAACATAAAATAAATATAGGAAAATGTCTTTTTTGAGCCTTGAGGTTGAATGACCAACTACGCTCTAAAAATCAAAATTAGTTTTCAGTTGTTTTAACCTATTCATGGAAAAAAGAAAACATTTTATTAATGAAAGGAAATTTATAGCTTGAGCATGCCACAAGGAAATTCATATTACCTTCCATTGCATTTGAGGTGTTAAAGTTGTGAGAATTTTGAGATGAATCAGAAGTGGGCTCATTGATATCCAAAGTAAAAACATCTTCAGTAATTTCATCAACAGCTTCACAAATCCATTTGTTATTTTCTACATATAATAGATAACTTATATAGTTAAGACTTAAGATAACATAAGCTAAGACATTAAATAAACAAAAAATAAATAAATATACCTTTATCTTCAAATAGTCAATCCCTAGTACAAACCAATGCCTCAACTACGACAGGTTTAAGTGAGAAGAGAGATAGCACCTTGGAGAAGAGATAGCGGCGGGTGAGAGAATGAGAGAAAGAGAAGCCTCTAGAGACTCAGAGTCAGAAGTAGGGTTTTGTCTAATATATATATATATATGGGCTTAATAAACGGGTCGGGCTGTGTCGGTCCGATAACGGCACGTATAACTAAACGGGTTAAGCGTGTTAAACGGATTGACACGAATCCAGTCAATTTATTTTCGTGTTATTCATACCAGCCCGTTAACGACCCAATTAATAATCGTGGAGTCCAAACTCATTTATCTCGTGTCATGTCCGAAATTGCCAACCCTAATTAGTATGAATCTGAATTTAGTTTAGGTTAAAATCATATTTAATGTTAAAATATGCAATATTGATAGAATTGAATTTGATCGTCTAAAATAGAGTTTTAACTAGTGGGATATTCTTGGTCTACAGTCAAATCCTCTTATAAATAAAGTTTGAAGGAGAGATGTAAAGAGACATAATTTTAAGAGAAAGGATAAGAATAAGAAATATAGCCAAGAGAGAGATCGATGAAATAATGACAATTTAATAAAAGTTAAGAATAAGGAGACAAATAACATATTTTTAAATATGATGTTTAGAAAATTATAGTATATTTTTTAAAAATAATAAATTATAACATAATTTAATATTTTAAGTTGTAAATATTATTAAAAACTTAAAAATACTCTAAAACTTTTTTTCCACCTCTCTTTTCTTCTTCTTATAGTAAGGCTTAGTTTGGTAGTACTGTGAATTTTAAAAAAATTGCTTTTAGTTGTGCTGAAGGGAGAAACAGCTGTTACAAGAAGCAGCTGAGTGTTTAGTCAAATGTAATTATATTAGCTGTGCTGGTTTCAAAATCAGTGTAATAGCGTTTGATAAATTTTGAGGCTGAATTGTTGTGGGTATGTAAAATGACAAAAATAGACATTTGTATGAAACTTAAATATATATGATTGTTTCTAGTATTTAGAAATACTTGTTGAGCTTACAAAAAAATAATAATGCTATGATTCTAAGTTTCTAACAATAAATTTAGTGATAATTAATTGTTTTTTTCATTTCTTTATTCAAAATATAATTACAACTAAAAGGAGCATTAGTGAGTAATCAATGTATACAACAAAAATGTACATTCCATGTTCAAAAATTGGTAGAGCCATGAAAAGAATTAAGTCGTATTCATTAAACTTGCCGCAATTTGATCTCGTACTTCATCCATTTCCAGTGATAGTAAAGCTTGATTCTCTTCTACATTATTGTCATCTGGTTGATTCTCTTCATAAACGAAATCATTTGTGGTTCGTTTGGTTGATGGATTCAGAATCATGATTCAGAACCATTCTCAATTTACGTGTGTTTTTTGTGAGAAAAAACACTGTAGCGAGCCACGAACCATGGCACGAATCTTTGAACCAAACGCACTCCTGGATTATCCTTGACCCTTTGAAAATGTCGATCACGCTTGTCATGCTTCCTAATGTAGTTATGGAGTGCCATTGTAGCAATAATTATTTTCACTTGCTTCTCAAATAAATAATTTGGCATGTCTTTCAAAATTTTCTATTTTTTCTTCTAGACACCAAATGTGCGTTCAATGACACTTCGAAGAGAAGAATGTGCTTGGTTAAATCCCTATTTATAGCTAGTTGGTCGACGACCCATTCGAAATTGTTCTAAATAGTATCGTTCTCCTCTATAAGGTCTAAGAATTCCTTTTAATTGTGGAAAATCCGCGTCAACTAAATAGTATTTACCTATTGAAATAAAAACACAAAGAATTAGTAAATTATAAAACATATATTTCATGAATATAGAAGAGGTTTTAACCTTCTGGTGGTGTTGAAAAGTTCAAATTTATATGACGTAGTGCTGATAAGAATATTCTTGTATCATGGGCATTACCTTCCCAACTTGCATATGCATATGTAAATTTCATATTGAAATCACAAGCAGCCATCACATTTTGGGTTGGCACACGCTTTCTATCAATAAATGAGACTTGATCTTCTGGTGGTATTGTAGCTGGAACGTGTACGCCATCTATTGCACCAATACAGTTCTAAAAAAAAGAAAGTTTTATGTTTAAAATGAATACTTTAAGTAAGGAATGAAGCATATAATCAACTTAAGAGAATACCTTAAAATGTGGCATATATCTACAATCCATTAGTATCTCGTGAGGCACTCCATTAAACTGTGGATCATCAAGCTTTATAACAACCATACTCATACGACAGACAATGTCTAGAACGTACTCAAAATATCTACTAACTGTTTCACCAAAGTGTTGAAATCGTTCTTGTGTTGAATGATTTCCCGCACCCTGACCTAAAATGAATAAAAATATTCCGACTATTTCAAACGCGGACATATTTCTTGATCCCTGTAATTCGTAGTTACATTGCAAATCATTATATAGTGACATAAACATATCATTATCCATTGTAAACATTCTATAACTTCTAATTTCATGTCCGCCTAATAATTCATTACCCATATATTTCCAGTTTGAGCAGAGTTCATACAAGGATTTTTGTGAATATACTTATTGTAATATTGTTCAATGAGTAGTGCTATAATACAAACAAATTGTAAATTAAATTGGACAATATTGTCAGACATCCCAGCATATAATAAAGAAACCTGCATGTAAACATAATTCAAATGAAATAATGGAAAATAACAATGTCTGAGGAGTAAAAATATAGTACAATATTCAGTACAATGTATTCGAGAACATGAAAAAAAAAACAAAAATGTATGAAACATACTTAATGAAAACCACACTAAAAGATTAATCATAGTAAATGAACACTCAAGAGAATTTAAAAGGATGATCCTAGCTCGTGCTCAAACTTAAGCCAGTTGAACTTCAACTCAGGTTGTTTCAAAGCCATAAATGACTCTCTTTTAATCGTGTCTGAGCACAAGTGGATAGCAAAAAAATACAACTCCCTTCCAATCTCTAATCTAGGTAGAAAATCAAAGATTTTAATAACTCGTGTAATGCTGCAATCTGGTACTTTAGTTTGTGCAATGGATGATTCGATATTAATAGTCTCAACTACATTTACAAGGCGATCTATTTGTTGCGACAATTTAGCTGCACCGCCAACCTTATCCTTGCCTTTCCCTTTCTTAAGTTTCTTTCGTCTCTCATCTGGCTCAATTTGACGCTTCTTCTTAGGGTCCTGTGA